ACAATATGTAAAATTTGGTCCAATTCGCTTATGCCATTTTGTATACTACTACTTAGAAAAACATAAAAATGAAACATAATTCAATCAATAATCAATTAAAGTGCTTATGGCACAGAGTAAAATAGGATTGTGGGGTTAATGTGTTTTATAAAGCCTGTTTTTGCAAAGGAAACTCACAATGACACATTTAGATGCAGAAATAGACAATTTGACTCGCTTCACATATAATGTAATAACTCCTGTTCAGAAGCTGTTATTTGAAAGATTCTTTTTTTCTGGTACTTTTTGGCATCTAGTGGCATCAAACAAAGTAAATTGCAGAGAGCTGGACCTAATAGAACCTGAATTACAGAATTTCAAAAAAATGATTTGTTTTAAAACTCCAAAAGCGCCTGTTTTTTTTGTGTTTATTGGAATATTTGAAAAATATATAATGTTATTTATAAAGAATTACACTCATATTTTCTAGTTCAAAGGGTTTTCTTTACAATGAAACCATTTTTTTTCATTTCCTCCATTGTATGTGTGTAGGGTAAACATTTGAATTTGAGTATGTCAAATTTAGGCGAAAATACCAAAAAACACCCCAGAGAATAAGTGTTAACTAAGTAAACAAAGACAAAACTACAATAGCATATTTACAGATGAAACTGACCTGCACTTGAAATCCTGAACAGTAATTTTGCTTCTCTGCTCCACCTGTGCGCTTATACAGTCCACTCAAATCTCTTGCATTGATTAATTTACTCTGATCTAAACAGTTTGGCGGAGGCTCGGAGCGCGCGAGCGGAAGTGCATTCCCAATCACGACTAACCGATTCATGATTTATTAGAGATTTATTATCGAATGTCGAATTCGGAAACAATCGCTTTAGTACATTCGGCAGGCAATTATATAATAACAATAATATTAAAAAAGCGGGCAAAATCAGCTGCTAAGCCACCGGGAATTGTCCCGGATCTCCCGATGACCAGTCTGCGCCTGATTTCCACAGAGACACGCAGAATGTGCAGGATTCATATTGTCCTTTTGCTGCTGAATATTTACAGACCCTAGTCCATATCGCGTTTTGATTCAAGTGTACTGACCTACTTTTGATTTATTCATCCAAATTTTGCATATTCTGCATTATAAGAATTCCAACCAGTCCGTGTTTTCCGCATGGCGGAAATCATAGGGCAGTAGGCCTATGTCTCATATTTTAGAGTAGTCAGAGCAATTTGGGAAAGAAATCAATTAAATCTGTATGTGGATGTGTGTAAATATTCAAATGTAACCCCCTTAGTAGTCGTTAACATTTTCATAAGTAACTAATTTAATTATACATTTTTTCTTAGTAACTATAACTGATTAGTTACATTTATTTTGTAATTAAATTACGTAACGCCATTACATGTAACTAGTTACTCCCCAACACTGCGAATGGTTCAATAATATATTGAGAATTGTAGCATCCCTAGTATATGTATAATAAAGGTAGAGAACAGCTTGCGGAGAATTTTGAAGCAGTTGTCACAAAAGTGAGCTAAGTAGACATTTAACTACACTTGCGTTGAGATCTGAACTTTCCTTTAGAGCTTCACTTAAATATTCCCATTGATGTTCTTACAAGTGATTGCAAATGTACTTCTCCTACTGCGGCTTCCTAAACTTTGTTCTCTTGGTTAATTTTATCCAGAAAAATAAATGAGAAGTCATTTATATCTCACAATTGTTCAGAAGCTTTAGTTACATTAACAATTTGACCCTTTATATACTGTACATAAGAGACAGAACTGCAGTGTGGATTAAATCTTAGAAATGAAAGTCACGACGATTGATGCAATACAGGAAACTGAAATAGGAATTAGCTGCTGAGGTTTTTTGTGTTGTTCCCATGGGTGCTGAGGACCATAAAAAGGACTCCAGGAAATTTACTGCTGCAATAGAATTTTACGTGACTTTGAATCAAATCTGAGCTGTCTAAACAGGCCAATCGCAACATCATCCCATTTATCAGCAATCTGATCCAAAACAGCAGATGTAAGGGCCTTTCTGGTATGACTCAGGTATAACATAAGCATATTAAACGTTAAGCCCTGTGCACATCTGATTTGTGTTTTCGTTCTACTTTTAGCACATAAGGTGATATTTTCAACCACCAGGCATACTGCACTTGGCAATCAACAAATTAACAGACTGTACAAGGGTGTGAGGTTATTTTTGTTTTGTAACTATGCAATGTAGATATCTCAAATGGTATTGGTGCTTAAGCACAAGCCAACAGCAAACACCTGTTGAGGGCATACTGCCTCTAGTCAACCAGAACAGACACAGCTGCTAGTATTCTTTGAGTAGGCTGACTGCTGTTTGCTAGTACATTCGGTGCATGCTCACAATGCACTACAAAACCAATAAAAGCATTTCAGTTGTGTGCTAATCGGCAAAATCTCTGCATTTTTGCAAGCTGTCCTGTCATTATGAGCTTTCCATAATTTTGGCAGCGGTGATGATATTGAGGGCATTGAAGAGGACAAAACACGGTCATGGTCTTCAGCCAAATGAGTTGATGGAGAGCAAAAATAAATCTATTCTGCAGGTGTGAACATGCACCGGCACTGGGCTGGAAATATGCTGGCTTATTCGAAGTTAATTTCAATTGAAAACCCAGTGATTTATTGTGCGTACCACACTAGCTTGATTCTTTACATGGCTAGCAGAATTCAGCCTAACTGTCTAATCCAAACGCTGTTCTGGTTTAGGGAAAACGCATATCCCAACAAAACCGCACTAGTTCTTCTTCCACCCAAGATATATAGAGCCCATCTGCCTCTGTGCCGTACACACCTGCAGGAAACATGCTGAGTTGCTGGCGGGGAGAGAAAAACGGCGTGCGCTTTGAGCTAATTCATCTATTAATTTGACTTTTTAGAGGATGAGGGATCTACCGTGAATTAAACCCAGGCAGACTGCCATCGCTGGATGTGTACCGTAACTTGCTTTACAATGCTCTAAACAATAAAATGGGTGATAAGTTACCTCAGCGTCGATGGCACGGACAGTGGCTGTTAAGCACATTGTCATGGCGGTGACTATAATGTCACAACTGACGCCCCTGGGCACTGGCTCATAATTCGCCATGTTAAGCGCAGTCACAAATGTAATAGCACCGCAGT